TCCTCTCCAATCCTCTCCCCTCTCTCTTCTGCGAGCCGCCGGCCGCCGCCCCTCTGCCGCCGGCCGCCGCCCCTCTGCCGCTGGCCGCCGTCGCCGCCCTCCGCCACCGGCCGCCGCCGCCCTCCGCCGCCGCCGGTCAACTTTCCGGCGGTTTTTCGGCAACTTTCCGGCGAGCCTCCCAGGTCATTTTTGGCCTCTGTCTCGCGCCCCTCACCCATTTTTTTGTGCCTTAGCTACAGTTCTCCTTGCGTTTCCAGGTGTGTTTCCTGTTACCTGTTCTTACCTGGAAAATCGAACTGTAGATTGTAGGACCGAGAACTATAATTGCTTGCATGAGTTAGAATAGGGTGAGGGATGCTTTGAGTATGCATGGTTCTATATATGGTGTATGTGCTGCCCGTGTACTTATTGTGGTTGGTTCTGCGTTTCCTGCCTTGATTCCGGTTGGGTTGCTTGCGATTCAACCGTATGTGCTTACAACTGTTAGCCTAGGTGCTCCTTAAGTGTGGGGGAAGTGATGAACCCATGTTGTTGGTCCTGACAAGTCTTTTCTTGGTTCCACCTTTGATTTGTTGATTTTGCGGGAACATGTCCCTCGACCATGAGTTTGTGCAGGGCCTGAGCCTGCACCCAGATTACGCGGACCAGTTCCGCGCGGTGATTCGGGTGAAGTTGGAGCGCCACCACCATTTGGAGTGGGCAATGTTCGAGCAGCTCCACTGCATGCAGGAGCTCTCTGCCGCCATCGGCCACCGCGATTGGCGGACGCTGCTGGCTATTGACGAGCCCACCTACACTGAGCTGGTGTGGGAATTCTACACCACCTTCCAGTACAACAGCAAAGCGGCTCGGGACTCCCCTGCAGTGAAATTCAGGCTAGGTGGCTATCCCGGGAGCTGACCATTGACGGGTTGGCCGCTGCCTTGGGGATCCAGTATCACCCATCTTCCCGCCACGTGATCGAGGTCTCGAATCCTACAGATTGGAACATGGATTATTTCTACTCGCAGATTGCCCGGTTCGTCTATGCGTTCGACTACTTCGACGCTGGCCAGACGTACGTCCGCACCCTCAAGCCGCAGTGGCACATCCTGAACTTGCTCATCACCCGCTCCATCGTCCCCAACGTCACCGGCTCGCACAAAATTCCGAAGCGGGTGCTCTATGCTATGTTCTCGATGCGGGACCCGGATCACATGTTGCATTTGGGCTCCTTCGTGGCCACCACCTTCGCTCGATGCCACGGGAAGCCCAACCATCTCTACTGTGGTCCCCTGATCACCCGTCTAGCGCTCCATTTCAACATCAGCTTCCAGGGGCTCACAGATTCTTCTGCACAGGGCGGCTCCACCCCCCTCAGCCGGGAAGTGCTCCATAATGCACTCCTTCTGACCAGTGATGGTACCCGCACCTGGGTGGATGGGCTTTCTATGCCTCCTGATGAGGATGAGGATCTCGATGACGATGAGGAAGACGCTGACTATTCTGGCGCGGAGGATGATGAGGATGATGATGATGATGATGATGATGATGATGGCGGGGCCATGGATACGAATGAGCCGGAGCCCTCACTCTCTCCACCAGGGGACCTTCGGCCACGACGGAGACAGGAGCGAGGTGAGTCCTCCTCCGGTTCTTCTGGTCCGTCGATGGCTTCTGGCCCGTCGATGGACTTCTTCACGGAGCAGTTCCAGCAGATGGGGCTCCAGTTCCAGCAGCTCGGTCTTCAGAACCAGCAGCTCATGGACCATCAGGTCCAGTTCTACCAGCAGTATTCGGCCCACCAGGCCGAGTACCAGTCTAGGCTGCAGGTTGTTGACGATCGCCTCGGCCGCTTGGAGGCCCATATGGGAGTCAAGGGTGCTCTCATCGAGCGGGAGAGAGATCGAGGCCGCCGACTGATGGAGTACTCTGAGCACCTGCTCCAGGCCTGCCACCCCCGGGAGGAGCACCACTGGACCACCCAGTGGGATCATTCACCACCACCACCGCCGGATGATGGAGACGACGACCTCATGAACCAGATCGACTTCACCGGTCTAGGAGGCGGTTCCTAGTGCCATGTTTTGAGTTTGTTTGTTTTTATCAGTGTGCAAACTGTCTTGTGTTGGTTTGGTTTCTTTCTTTTTGTGTTGGATTCTGTACTATTGGGCTGACCATTAGACCTGACGTATTGTGTTGAGCTCTTTGGTTTCCTTTTAGCTGTGCTTGTCTTGACTGGTCCTCTATCCAGTCCGCTCCACTCCGACTGGTCCGTTTCTAGTCCCCTGCAGTCCGTGCATACTAGTAACATCGTTCCCCTTTTCCTTCCCTCTTCTCCATTGAGGGCAATGTCGATCTTAAGTGTGTGTGGGGGAGGGGGGGGGGGTGTTTATCTTTTGACTGCATTAGATCTGTTTGTGTGCTTGGAGCCTAGTCCACTGTCCAAATTTTTAAATTTGAGGGCTCCAAGTACGTGTTTTCTTGCAATTGCCGGCTCAGTATGCTTTGAATTGACAGTCTTTATAGTAATATGCAACCTAGGGAGGTAGTGTAGCACTATGGAGGATGTTGATGCATTTAAGAAGTCTCATTGCTTCTTCATATTGTGTTGGTTGATTGAGTGAATTAGTGATCTTAGGACCCTTGAATTGTGTGGTGTTGTGGATTCTCTACCGGTCGTGGACTCTTGTATCATGTTTTGAAAATAACAGTTGCTCAGGAATGTGTTTTGAAATAACGTCTCCCATGCGAATAGGGCGAAAGTGTGTAAGGGGAGACGGGAATCCGTTCCCAATTTCCACCTACTACCTCCAGCCCCCTTACATGTCTTTCCCCCGCACGAGGCTCGAGACATCCGCTCCTGGCATGGCCGGTAAGAGCAGGTTGGGACCCTTGGAAAAAAGAAAAGAAAATAATAACAGAAAACAAGCAAAACAGAAAGAAAAGGGGTTCCAACCATCTTCAAGAAGAAAATAGAGCACCTTGAAAAATGTGAGTTCATGATCCTTTGTTTTTTAGAATCTCTTCATCCTCGATTCATTTGTCCTCTGTTCACTATTTGCCATGATGCCGACTCGATACTAGTGCTCTCGCCGAAGAAGTTATGAGATGACTTGTGCGTCGGTTGACCTCGTAAGCTGCTAAATGATCTAGGAAGTCCTCTACCTACGATCTGGGTTGTTTGTTGCTATAGAGGTCTGGAGAGTTGCATTGGTTTGAGTTAGGTTTGCTTGGGGACAAGCAAACGGTTAAGTGTGGGGGAGTTTGATAGACCGATAATTACACGTATTTTCACCCCTATTCTTGAGCCGTTTGAGAGGTTGATTCTCGGGTTTTAAGCCGATTTCACGCGAGGTTTTGTGTTTATGTCATATTTCAGGACCCGACGTTGGAATCGAGGCGAAGGGACGAGATTCGGGTCGAAAGGAGCAAGTGAGGCTTGAAGCGGGCTGAAGGAAGAAAATACCCGACCATAACCACAAATACCCGGCCGGGTATTATTCTGAGGAGACCGGGGAATTCCCTCTTTGGCGTCTGAGAAACAGAGGGGGGCCCGGTCGTGAGGCTTAAATCCCCGGTCGGGGATTATTGGAGCAGACCGGGGATTTTCCCCTGGCTTGAAACGTGCGTTTTGATAATACCCAGTCGAGACCCAAAATACCCGACCGGGTATCGCGACAGGCAGCTGTTTTAAGGGAAAATAGGGCTGAAATCGGGGGATTCGAGTTTTTGAGAGATATAACGATTCCTAGAGAGAGAAAGCGACGAACAAGAGTCTCCAAGTGCCCTAGATTGATCTTCAACACCATTGGAGGCCAGTTTGAGCTTGGAGAAGTGCCGATCAACGTCCAGGAGCAGGAATCCATCCTTCACAGTATGAATTCCGCGTCTGATTCTGCTTTTGCTTCTTTCTCCATGGAGTAGTTCTCCCATTCATCTGGGTATGGAGAACCCTAGATTTGTATGTTAGGTTTGATTGTATGAACCCAAGTACTGATTCTATGAGTTGATTATATTCGATTGAGGTTTGAATGATTGAATGACTTGAATCTTGATCAAATTCCTGTTGTTTCTGCTTTAACCTAGAATGAGAATATCTGCCTAGGTTGATAGAGCATCCTTGATTGAAGGTAGGGAGTTGGTAACTTTAGTCGAGGAGCCAACTCACTATTCTGTAACGGATTTACTCCGGTAGTGTAGGTTTTGTTTGTTAAGGCCTCAATCTGTTTACTCCGATGGAGGTTAGTCGCCCGCTAGAGACTTAGATTGAGTGGGTTTGAAGACCTTTAGTCGAGACTTCAGGCTGTTTAAGAACCTTCCGCAGTATAACCATCATAGAAACTGAACTTGGTAATTACAATCCGGCTTAACTGCAGTCTAGGGGGAACCATATCCGGGTGACCTCTCTTAACTTGAATACAACCGTTTGTTTGCTTTGTTTGTTTGGTAGTTTAGACTTGCATTCCAGTTCCATTGCTAGATAACAAGAATTCACTGAGTAGTCATCAAATCTAGGACCCGGGTTGATAATTAAACCTAAACCCGCTATACTAAGCTTTAGGAAGTGGTTTCACTTGGCCAATTCCTAGAGTGACAGTAGAAGTGAGTCAGTTGCCTATATTGATATAAATGCAGGGACATACTATTGCATTTCCTGACAATTATAGATGTGAGAACCAATGGAACAGAGATATTCTATCCTGGTTTAGCAAAGGGATCCAGCTACGTCATAATTCTCGCCCACAATGAAACCTTTATCGACTGACCTCTACAAAGAATCCAATGGTGGCGGTGTTAAAAAACAAAACTTACGGAAAGTCAGAGTAACCTACAAGTTATGCTAATTCAATTGGGAAGCTATTATTAAATAACACTAAAAGGAATGGATGGGATCGTATAGAAGATATCCTTCCGTGGGGTCCTGTTGGTTGAGGATTTGGGAAGCAGGACATTAGAAAATTGTTCTAAGTGGCCTCTCACATCTGCAAACCAAAGATAAGAGGATAACATTGTCAGTTTTATTTAAAGAGAAAACAGAGGCGGTAAGTAATGAGGAGACCAAAAAGCAAATCTACAGTGACGTTATGATATTTCGAGATGTCAACGACTTTGATGAATGGGAACTTGGACGGCGGAGCAGTTGGAATAGGATCAATAGGTTGAACAGTAGTGTCCCCGTTGAACTGAATCATCAAAGGGTTTGGAACAGGACAAAAATCCTCCTTTATTGAAGTTAATTTAAATGTCGCCAGCAGATAGCATTTTTTATCCTCAAGCTGAGTACCAAATATTCGGACGGAATCTAGTGGAACTTGCGCCCAAATGTCATTCCCCTGCCATGACACAAAAACCTGATTGAAATTGAAACCGAGAAGCGAAGAACAAAAGTGGTAGAAGAGAAGGAGTAAAAGATGACAGTACCTCAGAATCTATGACGACAAAATCCAAAGAAATGATCGTATCCTTCTTTGCATGGTAGGGGATCCATTTCCTAGAAACCCGACATTGGAGCTCGAAGAGCTGTTGAGCAGTAGCAAGTTCGGCGATGGAGACCAGTGTCATGGTGGAGCGGTGATGTTGAAATGCATAGGGGTAAGTGGACGGAGGTTAATTTATATAATGACTTGGCGTTGGCAGTTTTGCTCAAGTTGGAGCGAGAAGGGGAGGGAGTGAGGAATAACCACCGTCTACGTCAACCTCATCGTGGGCTGAGAAGGTTCCCAGTCGTATTTCGGCAAATGTGGCCATCACCTCAGAGAAGTTGCACAAATTATGGTGACTGGCCAGTAGAGGTCGTGGCCTCATGGGGGAGTGGAGAAGGAGCCGCCGAAACGGTATCGTTTCTGGGCAGTTTAGAGTTGAATCGTGGAGTCGGCAACTGAGATGGTAGGGATGTTGAGGCCATGGTTGAAGACTAAGCTTGGGTGGACGGATAGGTAAGTAGCTTTGTGGGCTCCAATTGTTTGGACATAATTATTCTAAAATACGCGGGCTGTTCATTAGGCCCAATACACTTTAAGACAGTTTTGATGGGCCTTCATGTAATGCGACCGATTTGAGTACTTAATCTGAAAATTTATTAGATCTGCCCATCACACAATAAACTAGGGTGAAAATCATATTATGGAATTTTATAATCCTGGTTGTGAGAAATACGAAAATTATCTATAAAATACGTACGAGTGTTTTACTTACCCACTAAACTAATTTTATGTTTAATAGCAGGCTATTTGTCATACTATATAAAATTGTGCCAAGGACAAATATAGTAACTCTGTGCATCACGGTTTGGCATAGTGAACATAATGTCCCGGTTATAAATAAAGCAGTGATTGAAACAAATTCCCCACTGCCAGATAAACACAATTCTTAAGAAACCATTGCAAAGTAGGAAAGCGGATAGGAAGAGGGATACTTTCAACAAATTAAATCACCAAAGAGCTTCATCAAGATGAAACCACAATGATCGCGCAGATGGTCCCATGGACCTAATTTAACTAAGAACTGGTACGTCTTTCCCTGGATGGAATCAATGATACTCTTCAAGTTGTTGTCCTAATAGGTATCATCCCTACCGACCATTCTGCTGCAATCCATCTGAGACGGGTACAGGGGAACATGGTACGAATCTCACCAGTAGTGTCGTTAATGGTCAAGTGCAGAACATCGAAGTTGGATTGACTTGAACACGAAAGGGTCAAGTCCGTAACTTCTCTAGCAAGTATACATGCCTTCTCCTATGAAAAACAAAAAAGCTATCGTCATATGAAATGGGAACAAAGGTGGTACACTAATAGAAACAACTGTGTACAAAATTAAGACCAAAGAATGGATACAATATCATATTGTTATAGTTATATTTCAGAACATTGAGCTCATGCGTCGTAGCAACTTCAGATATGGGCAAAGCTTCGTCGTATGGCAGGTGTTCAAATTCTTGATCCTCTACATCATGGTGATGGACTTGCCTAATTGAAATAGACATAATTGGTTCCCAAACAATCTTATTAATTTACCAGACCATACAATCTTATAAAGCTTTCAAGTGAAACGACTTACTTGTCTAATAAAGGATGGACGTCAGGACAATGAAGGTTAATATATGTCTTGGTAGCACGTGATGCAGCAAACAAAAATTGGCCTACACACCATAGCACAAGTACATGAATTAATTAAATGGAATACCATGTTATATGAAAATACGATTCAAAATGAAAATTGGGTATATTACCCAAAATCCAATTTATTATGGGTCAAAGAAAATTGGGGTCATCTTCCTTTCACGCATACTTATACTCAATTTTTTCGTTTGTGTCCAAATTGGACCATTTGACTATTACGGCAACCAATCGAGCTTAATATGCACAATTCAAACCCACTTCAACAAATGGGTCCAGTTGGGTCTAATAGAATATGCATAAGGCATACATTTGGGTCAAATTACTCAATGGGCTACCAATTACTATGTCTAAATATGATAAGCATACATGACAGGGATCAAGATCGTTGGCCGAAAGCAAATAATAGGACACATTCCTAATGTAAAATACTTGCGTATATGTCGATTACACTTGGACGACCAGGTTAAAATAATTTTAGATTTAGTCCTTCTCCATTGCATAGTTTTTGTTTTTTTCTCTTTTGTCCGTAACACCAAACTTAGCCCCAACAAATGATACCATGTTTAGTCACTTAAATTAGAGCGACATCCTAACCTAATCGCTTTATGAGCGGGAACCTAATGCAATGGCAAATAAATATGGGCCTAACTAAAGGGTCGATCAATCGTAGACATAATAAGGGTAATTAGGATAGCCAAAAATAATGCACCACATGCGTGTCCACATTATATTTAATGAATAAAAAATTACTAATGTTTTGTAGTCAATCAATGAAAACCACTCAGCCCATAAAGATTATCGACTTCAACAAATTTACAGCAACGTTGTAAGGGAAAGATGGCTACCTTGTTCATAATGAATGTATAAGGAGGTGAAGACCACAACCTTCGCTAATGTTGCCACATCAGTAATGATTTCCTCGAAAGCAGGTATCATCGAATCCCATAAATAAACATGTGCTTTCTCGCCTCTAATGGTAAATGAAAAAAATACATTCCCTTAGCTAGGCACAAACATTAATTTTAAAAATGGGATTGACAACATGAAACATAACCTCACCCAATCAGTTCGAGAGTAATCCGCTTGTTTCGAAGCGACAGACTTGAGTAAAACAATTGGCTTGGTTGACAGCTGGTTACAATGCCTATCAAATTTACACACAAAATCAATCATTAGTCATAATTCACATTGGATCATAACCAGGACTAAAACCAAAATTCAAGTACATAACACAAACCCGACAATATTTCCTGGTTCAGATTCGCATACGGAAAGCCGGCGGGGACCAAAAATTGAAAGCTGACGTCCGGGATGTCAGCTCTGTCGTCCATTACTTCTAACACCGTGCCAACATGGAGGGAAAGTAAGTGAGGGCTCAAAGACACTCGATGGAGGGCAGGGTGCGATTGTACATCAAAGAAAGTAAGACTGTAAATACACCCTTCATACAGGTTGGGCAGAAATCTCATAACATTAGGATGATAAATGATGGCTTCAATCACAACACCCTAGAAAACGAAGAAAAAAAATCGAACTCAGGAGAAGGCCAAGGAGAATATTGTCAACTTAAACATGCCAAATATTAACGCACCTTATTATCAAGCATGAGTAGGTTGATGTGTTGTATTGTATCACCAGTTGAGCCTATTTCTCCCCACAAGCGCAGTAGCATGACGTCAAGGACAACCATCGGGTCGGCTACATGGATGACTGGAACAAACTCGTCTACCATCGGATGAAATGCAGACGATTCCTAACAGGTCGGGCCACTAGAGAGAGTAAGCCGAGAGATAGAGAGCTTACAGGGAGGACTGAGGACTGCTAACGTGAGACTTCCTAATGAGAATGCAATTTTGGTTCAAAGAGGAAGAGGAAAGCCAAAACCCATGTTGCGTTTAAAAAGATGTCCACTACATAGTTTTTGGAACGTTGGAATTGCTCCCCTCAACTGGCGTAGCGGGCCGTATTCGACGGCGAGGTTGTTGAGATCGTGATCTCCCACCATGAGGTTGTGAACGTTGTTTTACAGAGGAAGCTTTGGTGGGCTGGAGTTTGGTTATGCCGGGCTGGGATTCGGATTGGGCCTGGTGGCATGTTGTGCTGTGTGGGTCTCGGTGGAAAATGATGTTTTCCCGGATCCCTCACGCAGTTTTTTTATTCTTTTGGTTTTTCACAAGTCTTTCTCCTTGCTATTTCTCACAAATTAGTTTTTATTATTTCACATTAAGCAGTTTTATTTTCATGCTAAATATCTCGGTGGTTTTATTTTATGATGAAATTTCCTCCTAGAAAATTAATTATTTTAATCGACATAAGTTGGATGATTTTACATAAGTTGAATATTATATAATTTAGTCATCTTAAAAGTTAAAGTATTGATTACTGAAATGAATAAAAAGGTTAAAGTATTTACTAACCAGTTTGGTATTTAATATTAATAGAATTTAACATTAATCGAGTAGTAATAGGGGCATAAAATATTTTTGGTGTTTGTCTAGGTTGTCAACAACCGGCCGTACTGCATAAAGACTGGGCTATAAATTTTGAAAAAAAAATCAACCAAACAGATATACGAACATTTAACCCAGCAATCTACGGTTAACAAACAGATGTCGACGGTTGTCAACCCAACTTGAAGAAAGAAAAAAAAAGAATCAAACAACGAAAATAATCAAAATAGAAAAATAAATCCCAATGTACTGTGATTGTTAGGAATATCTGAAGATAACAGATAAAGTAATGGAAAAGTCCTTGTCGATTGGCAGCTAGGATGCTAAGCTAAGGTGATGCATATACTAAAACAAACACCTGGTGAGTACCAAACCTTTATAGATTGGAGCCTCAAATCCCCTCCCCACTCATTAGACTTTTGGACTGATAATAAATTAATATTCTAAAACACAATGGTAATTTTATAATTATAATGTAGCATGTATTGCTTCATGCTCATTTGTAAGATACATTTGTTAATAACTTAAGATTCTAAAACACACCCCTATTTTGAATGGCGGGGAATGAAGTATGGTGGGGAGTTAATTTAGTTTAGGTCAGTAGAGACTGTGGAAGTTCCTCTTCGTATTGCAATATAACAGTCACACTGGCATACCCTTCGCTAGAGTAAATTTAGTTACCATTAAATATAAAGTAGTTTGCGTAAATCGCATTTCATATAATTGGCTGTTAAAAACAGGAAAATAATTTGAACAAATTGAGAACTCAATATTCAAATACTAACGAACAGATAAATTTTACAACCTTGGTCCTCAAACCTCAAACCTCAAAAAACATAATACATCTATAAACCATTACTCAAAAATCTTAGTGAAAACAATATTCTGCATAGTCTTCACCGGTTTACCTTGAGAGTCACAACTAAGAATTTTGAGTCCCCTTTCCGACGTAACTCAAGACATAGCAACATGCAACTGTCCATGAGAAAAG